TCATTTTCGATATCTTCCAAATCAATTGGAACATTTTGAGATGCATCGTACCCCTATGGAGTACTCGAACTACCTCTAAACTGGTTAATCTCATCACTAGTAAAATCTATGTGTAAATATTATAGTAAAGAATACTGAAAAATAGAGTAAAAGAAATTGGAGAGTAAAATACTGAATTTTGCGTAAAAAAAATTTGAGAGTATAACACTCAAATATCGCGTAAAGAAATTTGAGATTGATTTATATGAATTTGTAAAATTTTTCCCGTATTTATAGACAAAAAAGTATATCCGTTTTAAGTATATTTAATTTACAAATTCAAATTTTTGACAAGACAATTCAATTCAAAAAAATTTACGAATCTATTTTTTGGTTGCGTGCACGCAAGCAACAGCTTGAGTGCACGCAGCTATTGTAGCTGCCTACTGTGCAGGCAAAACGTGCAGCTTTTTTTTTTTTTAATTCAAAAATTTTATTTTTTTTATAAAAGGTTAAATAAATTCTGGACACGGGCCGGCTCGAGCCTCGGGTCGGTGCAACCGAGCCCGAGCCGGGTACGGCTCAGGCTTTTTCCGAGCCGAATCGAGCTCGAGCCCCCGAGCCTTTTTGCCACCGCTAAGGGTGTGTAAATCCCACTAGCAAAGAAAGGAAATATTTGACTTTTAAGGTCGGGAATTTGATAAATTTGTAAATGTACAGCGTTGTACTTAATTCTTCACACACACGTTTTGCACTGAATATGTGAAAATTTAGCTTTTTCTTATAACTTTGAAGTTGTTCCTGAATTTGATATAATGTTTTCAATTCTATGCCACAACAATGGCAAGCTGTTTAACTAAACTTGTTCTATGTAAATTCATTTTTTAGCTTTCTGTTTTTGTTTCATTAGTCATTTTCTTGTGTTTTATGTTGGCTCAAGGGCTAGCAAAATATTAAATTTGAGGGTATTTGATGAGTATGTTGAGTAAATTGGTGTGAATGATACAAAACTTAGAGAAAAGAGCGATGCAAGCATGAATCGATGAGAAGTTGATGCTGATTTGTGAAACTTGATGATTGGAGGCTAAATTGAAAGAAAGAGGTGAATAATGAAAAAAAAATGATGAAATCTAAAGTTTGAGTACTCAATGGCAACTTTTTAATAGTTGATTCGGACCACAAAATGATAATTCAAGATTTCTAAGAGTTAGCCAGATGTAATTAAAGTCAAAAATGAATGAAATATGATCAAAATATTTTCACAAATTAATTTTCAACTACAAAACTTTGAACTAGATTTTTGGTGGGAGATTGAAACCCATTTTTTACATAACAAATGTTCAAATTGGAAAAAAGCTACTTCCAGTAAAATTGAAGCACTTTGACTTATCTTTCTAATACATTTTGAATCGCCTCATTTGGATATATAGAACGAAAGTTATGATAAAAATACTGAAAATGTGCAGAGTTAGAGCAGTAGACGCCACCAAGTCGGCACCCAAGCGCCAAAAAATGACAGATTTGTGGCGCCCAGACTCATAGGCATTGAGAACTTTCAAGTTTAATTCATATTTTAAAAGCCCAATTTCAATTGAACTCGTCCAAAGACTTCAAGAAAGCATAAATACTAATCTAAATGTCACTTTTCAATCCCAATTCATCGAGACAATAGCAAGAAATCAATCAAGAGATCAAGAAGAAGACCAAATCAACTCCAAAATCAATTCTTCTTTCTTTTATTCTCTATATATATTTTATTATGAATTTGGTAGTTTCTCTCTCATCCGTCATGAACTAAACTTATAATCTAGAGTTTGATATAACCAAAACTTAATAATATAGTTTGATTTATTTTAGTTATTTTTATGAGATTTTCCAATTATGTTTATTTGTATTATTTATTCTTAATACTTTCAATTAATTGACCACTAATTGAATAATTTGATACAACTCAATTTTGGCACTCGAGAGAGACAAATTTAGTTGCGATCTTAGAATAACACAACTTAAATTTTATAAGTTTCAAGAGAAAGTATAAAATCTTTGAAACACGTTTAACATATGGTGTGTTTAAGCCACATTATTTTGGAAAAAATGTATTTTGGAATAGTAAATTGATGAAAAATTTGTGATTAAAAAAGAAGGAACAGTTATTGATGTGATTAAAAATATTATTTTATTGAAAAATGTGTTGTTGAAAATAAGTAGAAGAATGAGAATGAAAATTTTAATGTGTACCAAATAGGGGCATAAGAATCATGAACTTGATAATTCTTTGAATTTAATTAGAAATAGGGATTCTGAAATTGAATTCTATGAATAGTTTTTCCTCGGCACTCAAGAGAATGGGTATAATTAAATTAGGGTTCTTACTTATAAATTTGGACAAAATTGATTAGAAATATTTATATAATTAAGAATTATATTTGATACTTAGGTGAAATCATGACTATGGGCTTTCTCATCTTAATTATTCTTCTAAGTTGCATTTATTTGTTGAATTCGTCACCATATTCATCACGTTAAATTAGTTAAACAATTGATTCTAGATTTCATCCATCTAGATAAAATAAGAATTACACAAATATATTACTTGGTAGAAATTAAATATCAATCAATGTGAGTTCGACACTCTAAATTCACTATTATATTACAAAATTTGACATTGTACACTTGTAGTATATTTACATTATAGAAAACGTGTAACATTTACAAAATTAATAATTTAAAGATTAAAAATAATTATGAGGAATAACTTAAAAACTTTAATTTGTCTCAAAGAGAAAATTTTATACTTAAACAATTAAACAATGATTCGTCAGTTCGATAGGTGACAAATGATTCAATTAGTAACACAACCCACCAGTTCAATCAGTAACCCGATAATCTAGTAAATAAGTTGATCGATACTCAGGTCATGTATGAGTAGAATTATCCGTTTGTATAGTATTCATTTATATCTATTTATAATTTAAATTAATTATAAATTCTTTCCCTAACATGCTTTTCAACCTTTTCCAAGTGATGATTCGAGATGTTGACTCATGATTAAACCTGCGTTTCGTGCACATTCTCACCTAAAAAGAGAAATGCTATTCATTCTCAAATACCATTCATCCCCAGTCTATGTGGCATTAAATGATAGGTGAAATTAAATGAGTCATTTAATTTCACCTATCATTTAACCAATCATTTACATCCACATAGACTGGGGATGCATCCCCACTAGGGATGAATAGTATTTTTCACCCAAAAAATGAATTTTCCTGTCATTTCAAGCACTGTTTATACAGTGCACATGTAATGATTATATATCTCAATTTATTCCAAATTCCTTTATGCCCTCCCACCACTTAATGTACTGCAAACATGTACTGAAATGGCAGAGNTTAATAAATCTATTTACCACCTGATTTTTGAAATAATTAGACAAATTTGTTAGTTTTGAAAAGTAATTCTTATATGTAGATTTTGTGTACTGTTCCCTATCGAGATGTATATATCAAACTTCAAAATAATACAAATTTTCATTACTTTAAGGTTTAAACGGACAATAACAAGATCCATAAAGCAATGATAATTAAACAAAAGCCCAAATTTTTCGAAATCAAGAAAATATATTTAAGGCAGATATGCCATAAAACGGTGATAATTAAACAAAATCCCAAATTTTTTGGAATCAAGAAAATATATTCAGGGCAGATACTTTATTCTCTTTTCCCTCGAATTATTTATGGTAGAATATACAATTTAAGAAGATTATATTCAAGGAAATTATAATTAGTCAGTCACATTATCCTTAATTTTAATATCTTATGCATAATAATAAAATTTTTATATTTTAAAATTAATATATGTATTTTAAATATATAATTATACATAAATATACAACTATAACAAGTTTTTTTTGGTGCCCTTACAATTTTGAGACCTGTGCGGTCGCTCAATTCGCGCACCCTCAGGACAGTCTTTGCGTGATAAGATTCCAAAAAAGAACATGTCGTTTTATTAGCTCAATATTACAAGAACTTCAAATGTCCTATAAGCAAAATAACTCCCTTTAATGCTACTATGTTGTGTTATCACGTAAATCTGGTACTACGTAGCATTATTTGAATAGAAATTAGCGTCATTCGGGAATATGGTTAATTTAATCCTTGTGGAGAGGAAAACTATAAATACTATAAGGGTCCGTTTGATTGTAAGGGTAGAAAATGAGTGGAAAGAAAATGAATTTCAGAGAAAGTAATTACCTATAAATTGTTTTACAGTGAATTGTTAATTAAGTGTGTTTGATTGCTATAATTTTCCACTTTGAAAATTTTAAATTTTTGTGTTCGTTTGACTTTGTTTTACATGGAAATTGTCCATTGAAGTGATAAATTTTTCCATAATTGGTTATAAAATTTGTTTTCATGGCCAAAAAGTAAAAAAAAAAAAAACGAAATTTTTTTATCAAAATTTATTGTTCGTTTAGCTTTGTTTTACGTGAAAATTATCTATTAAAGTGAATTTTTTTTACAATTGATTATGAAATTTGTTTCCATTGAAAAAAAAAATTAAAAAAAAAACAAAAGAAAAAAAGGAAAAATGTGGAATCAGTTTTGATGGGAAATCCAATTCCACAATATGAAGGAAAATAGGCGCGAGGCTCCCATGGGTGAAAATTAAAATGCCAAGAAAAGTCAAGCCATCAAACAACACATTTCTTGAAAATGGAAAACTCCGTGAATTAGTTGCCAATCAAACACTACCTCATATGTATATTATATTTTAAAAAAAAAAAAAACCTAGAATTGTGTGCCTATCATCCTTCACAAATCTCTGTCGATTCCACCTATATATACCTTCTACCTCCTCAATTCAAGATCTATCTGTATTCACCAAAATCCTAGCTTCATCCACAGTTAGGCAACTCATCAACATGAAACTTCCAGCATCAGAAGCTCAAGGTTTTTTTTGTCTATTTCCTAATTTTGACTATGGTGTTTTGCTTTTAATTTCTTCAATTTGGTTTATGTTAATGTTTGCTTGTAGCGTGTTGTGGTAGTAACAATGATTGCTCGATTAAGGATCGGCAAACTTTTGACTTTTTGAGATCGTTTAATTAATTTCGCAGTTTCATAGTATCATTTAAATATTAGATGAATGCGCTCAATTTTGAAAGGGGAAAGAAATGAGGTTTATTCTCCTTGTGACTATGTATCGCTCTTCAAAATTCTCCTGAAATCGAATTTCAGAGTCAGGTAGAATTAATGAGCATCATGGAAATATTACATGTATAGTTAGTTATATAAGCGTATCAATATCATAAAGGAAAATACGTGATAAAATGATCTCTTAAAACATCGATTTAAAGCCCCTTTTTCCTTTATCATTAAATTTCTCTTTCTTAAGCAAGTCGCAAAAGGTTGAAGCTCTGTGGTAAACCGTGAAATTTAGGAGAGGTGATATAATGTTGATTAGAGCAAGTTATCATTATTCCGGCGATTTTGACGATGTTTGGTTTTTATTAAGTTACTTTATTGCTGATTGATTGAAGTTTTGCTATGGTTATTTATTCAATTTGAAGGAAATTTAAGCTTTATTTTGCCAATTAGTAGTTTGAGAAATTGTTTTGAATGTGATACAGAGGATATGCTTAAAGAGGCAAAAAGCTCCTATTTTGATCTGCCAGCATTAGATGTTTCAGTTGCATTTCCCCAAGCAACTCCAGCTTCAGTCTTTCCTCCTTGCAGTAAGATTAATATTTCCTCACTTGATAACAACGTATATCTGCATGAAATTCATAAAAGCACACGACATACACGTATTGTGTGTCTCTACGTATGGGTATGTTTGCTCACATACATGTGTCTGTATGTGCGTACTTGTGGAGACATATATCCTTGCTAGTGAGTCGCCACATTTAGAATTTTAACTTGTAAGATGCTAGAATCTGATAGATGTTTCTTAACGAGTGAGTTTTGACTCTTTGTTATTGCACTCCTAAACTTACAGAGTCGGACTATTATCAGTTTAATGATCTATTGACTCCTGAAGAGCAAGCTATCAGAAAGAAAGTAAGAGAGTGCATGGAAAAAGAAGTAGCTCCAATAATGGCAAAGGTACTTTCTTGTTTTACATTCGTATTTTTCAAATCTTCAACTAAGTCTCATAGTATGATTGTGATCATTTTTGTTTTATTCATATACATTATATGAATATTTTGTTAAAGAGTTGTTCATTATCTACATTTCCTATGACGTAAGACAAGCCAATTAAAAATCTAGAGATTATTTTCTATAATTAAATGTTCATTGCCTCATGTTTGGCTATTTGAAGAGGACGTGATTGCAAATTAATCTTTTCAGTATTGGGAGAAAGCGGAATTTCCATTTGAAATCATTCCGAAGCTTGGTGCATTGCGTGTTGCTGGTGGCAGCATCAAGGTACTTACAATAAAGTTAACCTGTTTCCGTTTCCTGGCATTCTGCACATGAATATGTGACATCTAAC